AATGACCCCTAACAAGCCAGAATGACCTGAGCCGTACGTGTAGGTGGCAGGTAGAGCAGCGTGACGGACGAGGCTGAACACAATGGCATACCTTAAAGGGAGGAGCCTCACCGAACGCCACTAACCCGCCGACAGACACACCTTAAGACCTGACAGACATACAGGCACTCACTCACTCACTCTTCTCACTCACTCTTCTCACTCACTCACTCACTCACTCTTCTCACTCACTCACTCACTCACCTTTCTCACTCACTCACTCACTCACCTTTCTTACTCACTCACTCATTCACACATCTCTCCTCACCTGGTTATGATTAATCAGGTGAGGAGAGATATGGGGAGGGTGGAGGGAGGTGGAGGAAGGTGGAAGAGGGTGGAGGAAGGTGGAAGAGGGTGGAAGATGTGGTAGTAATGTGGTGGTGACAAGAATAAGGAGAGTGAGACTGTAGTGGTGTGGTGGTCGAGGTAAGGTGGTAATGGTGGTGGTGGTAGAAGAGTTAGTAGTAGTAGTAGTAGTAGTAGTAGTAGTGATGATAATGGAGGTGGTATAGAAGTTATTGGTAGTGATGATGGCCACATGACGCCTACCAATGGCCCAAATGGGACATATAAATGGCCCACCAACACTACTAATGGCCCGGGGGTCATCTGCCTTCACTTCATCACTACTTAACAACACAGCGAAACAAAACTACATTATTAAGTGAAGGTGATAAGATATATACAGAACTCTCATACCATACAGTTACTACTTGAAACAATTAAGAAAAATACACCCAGGAACGTCTCAGATTTAGTAAGGCCTCTGATGACGTCATTAGAGGGCAAGAAAATAGATCCAAAGTTATATATTTCTTCACAAAAAAAATATTAATAACCCAGGGTGAATATAATACTAACTCTACGCTATTATTTCCAGCTTATATTAAATTAATCCTCTCATAAATATCTGTCGTATAATGATGTTGAAATAAATATACCGGTAGCAATATTAGATCAAGTTTACACAGTCTGTTTACCCGTGTTACCTCTGATGACGTCACATTAAGGGCCTAGTTAAGGGGGGATATTTTCACAAGTTACCTCTGATGACGTCACATTAAGGGCCTCGTTAAGGGGGGTATTTTCACACGTTACCTCTTATGACGTCACATTAAGGGCCTCGTTAAGGGGGGTATTTTCACACGTTACCTCTGATGACGTCACATTAAGGGCCTCGTTAAGGGGGAAAGGGGTATTTTCACTAGTTACCTCTGATGACGTCACATTAAGGGCCTCGTAAAGGGGGGAGGGGATTTTTTCACTATCCAACAAATATAAAACATATGCCCTTAGACCTTAAGCTGGGCACAACAAAATACTGGAAGGTCAATTTTCACACGTAACTGAGAGCGGCTTTATCCAGCTTACTTGGCAACCTTTTATAAGACTGCGGTGGTCAGGTGGTTAGTGCACTGGGTTGGTGGTCTAGTGGTGCCTTGGGTCGAGTCGTTATTGAGGGGAGGGAAGAGACGATTTGGTATACTGTTCACAGCACCGTCATCACAGCACCGTCATCACATAGCACCATTACATCATCATCATAGCACCAGCATCACAGCATCACAGCATCATCATCACAGCACCGTCACAGCCTGGGTCCGTTGCAGACATATGTGACAGGGAAGCGAGATAAACCAGGAATTTATGAAGTTCTCTCTCTCTCTCTGACTCTCTTTCTCTTTCTCTCTCTCTCTGACTCACTCTCTCTCTGACTCTCTCTCTCTCTCTGACTCTCTCTCTCTGACGCTCTTTCTCTCTCTCTCTGACTCTCTCTCTCTCTCTCACCTTTAAAATGTGACTTTGTGGACGTTCAATAGATGGCGTAGCATACCAGACCTTCTTAAAGTAGAGCTACAAATACCTTCATGCTCCACATAAACAGCGAAAACTCCACATAAACAGCGAAAACTCCTCATAAACAGCGAAAAACACCCGAACAAAAACCAAGTAAACTGCAAAACCCATCGAAACTGCGAAAACCTTCTAAAACAGCTAAATCACCAGGACAAACCTCCACTAAACCCAATATTCAGGTTGTATGTATGAGAGTTATTATGATATATTGTTTAGATCATGCTTATGTTGTGTTTGTTTTTCGTGTTTCAGCTCTTCCTGTTTGTTAAGCTTGTTTTCGCTTTTCAGGAGGACCTTGCTAGAGAGACCACACCACCTACTGTACACTACTACCCACACATACAGGTAAAAGATATATACCTATATTAAGTACTTTTTTTTCATTCGTTTTATTCTTTTAAAATTTACGTTATGAGAATATATCATATTTAATACTTACACGTCTGTCTGTATGTATGTATGTATATGTGAGTGATTTCTGCAACATAGAAATTGGAAAATAGATGACATTTGTTCCCCATTAGTGCTACATGACAAAAGCAACTGATTATCTCAACCATTTTCACAATTTCACGACGTGACAAAATAGGTAAGTTACCCCTTAACATAGAAGGAAAGTGGGACTATGGGAGTTGGTTTTCTGTGGAGAGGAGACGTCAAGGGCAGACTGAGGTAAACATTACCCAGATTTGATCAAGGACTTTTTACGACTGTTCAGTGTCTCGTAAAAACCTGCTACGGCTGAATCACCTCACGTAAAACCCTACTGGAAATAACGGTGATTAATTTTTTGTGATTGCAGTTTTGTGAGCGACCAGACATGAAGAGAGTACGGTGATTCAAACGGGTGGCATTATTACATAGAAGAAACACAAACGTCTGTTATTATAGTGAAATATAAATGTAAATACGACAATAAATAATGATGAACAAAAATAAACAAATGAAAAAAAAAGATAATGATTACTACAACAAATAAATTATAACTACAACAACTACAACCTGTGAACAATAACACCCGAAGAACAATCATAACATATAAGAGAATCTAAGTAAATATTAATTGACATCTCATACCTCTAAGACCTTTTAGAAGCTTCCAGGGAATTTTGTCCAAAGTCTCCAGGGTAATTTGTTCAAGTGCCCATTTTCTAACATAAATAATAAACAAAATAATAATAACAGAATCATCTCCGTTTTCTATGACCTACAACAACGAGGGCTAACTACTCAAATTCCTTTCTCTTACCTAATTAAACAAACACTACAGTATTTGACATAACATATTACACTCGTTAGCCTAACCTTAACCACCTTGACGTCACAGATTACCCTCGTTAGACTGCCCTTAATCACCCATATATGAATACAAGGGCGACTAACACACAAACTAGGATGGTTTTTGCTCATTAGTAACAACATTTAACCTCTTTTAATGTGTATTTTCTTAATATTTGAATAATTAATTACAAAATAAACTCATCTTAATTTTTTATAAGAGTGCGGTGGCTGAGTGGTGACTGTACTCGTTTCCTGTTCTATAAGTCGTTGGTTCGATCCCAGGATACAACACTCTTAACTCTCACAACAACTCCCTATCTCTCTCAGGTCACACCTCCCTTACCCAGGTCACTCCCTCCTTACCCAGGTCACTCCCCCCTTACCCAGGTCACTCCCCATTTCCCCAGGTCACGTGCACCAATTATACCACAGCGGGCCGGTGATTGGTCGTCTCATCAACCAATCACAGCAACAGAGTAACGTTATTGGAGGAAATATTACCTGAGAACACAACACCTTGACCACAATTTACCTGTTATCTTCTTAATTAACATCAATAACACACCATCAATAACACACTCTACCAATAACATAATACATCAATAACACCATCAATAACACTCTCCATCAATAACAATAACAGATCAATAACACCCACCACAGTACTTACCTCCATCAATACCGTCATGCTAGTTAGTAATTTGCGTAAATCTACATCAGATCAAACAGGTTAATTAATTACTTACCTCTAATTACCTGGTTATGATTGCATTGAATAATTTAGGATTAATTAGGAACTTCCCTCATTAATTGGATCAGGTCAAGATTAACTCAAAAGTTTATTTCACCTGATGATTAAACACTCTGTCGCTACCTGGAGGGTTAGGTTAGGTTAGATTAGGTTAGGTTAGGTTAGGTTAGGTCAGGTCAGGTCAGGTCAGGTCAGGTCAGTATTAGGGTGGTTAATCTTAAGGTAAAATACATTGTTGTCTGACGTACGATAAATATAATGAAAACTTAATTATTTTCCTCTTATTATTGAACACAAAACAGCTGTAAATAAACACATACATATACAGTTGAGGAAGTGACCACGGTTGAGTACAGTACCGCACACATTACCTTGTACACCTCAAACTTAGTACACAGTGAATTACCTGTAGTACATGGCATACAAACAGTACATCCCAGGTAAACAAACTTAGGTAATATATAAAACATGTGCTTAACAGATGACACCAAACACAGGACAGGTGTTAGTAAATAAACAGGCCAGCCAACCAAACTCCCAGGAGGCGGTGGGTGAGCTAACAGTGTGTGTGCCATTATCAGTTCTACTACATACACAGTACAGGACGGAGGAGTTAGTGAGGAAATTAATTAATAAAAGATGAGTCAAATTCACATTCCAGCAGGGCAGTGGTACCAACCCAACAGACAGTGGTACCAACCCAACAGACAGTGGTACCATCTCAATATCATAGGCTGGGCAGTGGTACCAACCCAATATCCTAGGCAGGGCAGTAGTACCAACCCAAGACACGGAGGTACCAACCCAAGAGAGTGGTACCATCCCAATATCCTAGGCAGGGCAGTAGTACCAACCCAAGACACGGAGGTACCAACCCAAGAGAGTGGTACCATCCCAATATCTTAGGCTGGGCAGTGGTACCAACCCAAGACACAGAGGCACCAACCCAAGAGACAGTGGTACCAACTCCAAATCCTAGGCTGGGCAGTGGTACCAACCCAAGAGACAGTGGTGCCAAGCCAAGAGACAGCAGTGGTACCAACCCAAGTGACAGTGATGCCAACATATTCACCTTTACGTCGGGATGACTTGCTTTTGGGTCTGTCAGGTATGAGACCCGCAGTGTCTGAAAATAGAACCAGGTGTGTGAGCCAGGTGTGTGAGAGAGAGAGAGAGAGAGAGAGAGAGAGATCGTCGATGGGAGCAGCAGGCAAGACAAGAGAATAAATAAACACAACACTAAAACAAAACCTTAAACTAGGAACTAAAAAAAAACACAAAAACAAACAAATAAAAACAAAAGTATTTTATCTGTTTCTTCTAAGTGTGAGCATTACTTAATTATTTACTTAAGAGTTACTTATACCACATAACTCCACACTACAGTATTAAAAAAATGGTTTTATGCAAATATTTAAGACAAAATTACGTGCAAAATTACATAGCATAAATAATTTAATATAAAATGCATAACTAAACTAATATAAATAAATCATCAAGACATGGTCGACTTTTAGGTGACGTCAGAGGTGTATAGTGTGACGTCACGGGTTTAATAGGAGTTTTATGACGTCATTCTTACCAGTATGACGTCACTAACCATGATGAGGGGGTTTATTCAGTATTTACAACTCATGTTATCATCTGTCTCACCATACATTACACCAGCACCATCAATACACTATACAATGCCAGATGGTGATAAGTATAACACATTGAGGAAAAGGACAAGACTTTTTTTCCTCATTTTCTTACTATTATTTTCAATGACCAATACACAACCGATGCTATTATTTAAGTGAACGGCTATTACTAACTTCAAACTTTTAAGTGATTGCACAAAGTTATTTTCAGCGAGTTATTTTTTTTTTCTGGATAATATAATTTTATAAATGTTTCATGTGACGTCATTGCTTGTAGTGTTACGTCAGGGGTTTAGGATTATTACGTCACAGATTTCGTGTCGTCACAGTTATTAAAGTGACGTCACTGGCAAAATTACAGTGACATACAAAACAGATTATTAATAAAACGATTAATTACCTTCACACACACACACTCACACACACACACACACACACACACACACCAGCCCTAACCACATATCCTGGCCCCCTGCGACAAAACCCCACGAGTATTAAGAATGGTTGAGTCTCCCCTCCCAGCACCATCGCTTTCTATGACGCTCTCTATGGCGGTACAGAGAATGGGTATCCGGGGACCGAGGGGGGGGATTATTTTATGTTTGTTGGCTGGTAGAGTGGTGGTGGTGGAAGAGGTGGTAGTGGTGGTAGAAGTGGTGGTGGTTGTTAAGTACTGATGGTTGTCATTGTGAAATATATGGTAGTCTCTCTCTCTCTCTCACCGTAAATCCCACACTACAAATAATCCTACGAAACCCGACGAGAAATCCTCGTAAATCCAACTACTCTTATTAGGTTAGGTTAGGTTAAGGTCAGGTTAAGTCAAGGTCAAGTTAGGTTAGGTTAAGGTTAGGTTAAGTTAAGGTTAGATAAAGTTAAGGTTAGATTAAGTTAAGGTTAGGTTAAGTCACGGTCAAGTTAAGTCACGGTCAAGTTAAGGTCAAGTTAGGTTAGGTTAAGGTCAGGTTAAGTCAAGGTCAAGTTAAGTCAGGTTAAGTCAAGGTCAAGTTTGGTTAGGTTAAGGCTAGGTTAAGTTAAGGTTAGATTAAGTTAAGGTTAGATTAAGTTAAGGTTAGGTTAAGGTCAAGTTAGGTTAAGGTCAAGTTAGGTTAGGTTAGGTGAGACGTAGGTCAGTGAAGACAACAGAGCCAACATAACTCTACGGTCAAGTTATTTCACATTTCACTACCTGGAGGAGGAGGGATATGGTCACACACACACACACACACACACACACACACACACGACTTTATGCTGTATTGGGAAGTGAACCAAATGACAGCAGCATCAAGTAACAGCAGGGCAGCATCAAGTAACAGCAGGGCAGCAACAGGTAACAGCAGGGGCAGTAACAGCAGGAACAGTAGCAGGTGTTGAGCGCCACTACCTCCGCTACACAGGTGATCAGGAACCGTAACTTACCTGTAATTAGAGGAAACACGCAGGTATTAGTCACAGGTGTTCCATGACGTCAGAGTCTGTTTAGTTTTAACCTATTTTGTTGTTCTACATTATTTACTGTTTTGTGTTAGTGTTTCATTATCTAAATTTTTAACCTAACCTAACTTAACCTAACCTAATCCTATATGTTATTCGGATGTACAATTTTCTAGTCCATTCTGCAATTATAACGCGAAGGATGAAGCATATGGGGGTACCTGGCAATGAGCTTGTTGACAATATTACTAAGTTGAATTATATATCACGTAAGTTTTTTTTTTATAAGTTCCATAGTAATAACACAAGTTGTTTAAGTTTATGTAAAGTTATGGATAAATTAAGCTTCGTGTTTGAGTGTTTAATATGGAAAGTGAATAAATAAATCAAGTTTATTTTTCAACATTTGGCACCACTGGATAGGACTCCATCTAGCGGCATGATGGTGCACTACATAGGTAAACAAGATTATGCTAACTAATGATATTTTTTACGTAGTTTATTTTGTATCGTCATTATTGTGTAGTAGTAGTAGTAGTAGTAGTAGTAGTAGTAGTAGTAGTGTAGTAGTAGTGTAGTAGTAGTAGTAGTAGTAGTAGTAGTAGTAGTAGTAGTAGTAGTAGTAGTAGTAGTAGACGATAACAAGAGGAGGAAAAGAGGAAAATAGAGCCAAGAATGTTCCCAGGAAGAAGGAAAGAAATCAGGAAGATGTAAGGAGGAACTTGAACACTTTAAAAAGACACACACACACACACACACACCCTCCTCCACCTACCACTCCTTCCACCCACTCCACCTCCCTCCACTCCACCTCCCTCCACTCCACCTCCACAAGACACACAGAGCCAAAGTCAACATTTACGCGGCATCTCGTCTTCCCTCCAACTGACCTACTGCCCAGTCACAGTCACCCCCCAGTCACTCACCCAGTCTACTACAGAAATACTCCCCAAAGTCACCCACCTGTCACCTTTCACAGTCTAACATAATGGTTGTCAATACCCACCAAATAAATTGAGTAAAATTTTGGGGCTTTTTTCAGGCCTGGCGGGGGGGGAAGGGAGGAGGGGGAGGAGGGGGAAGAGGGAGGAGGAGGGGGAAGAGGAGGAGGAGGGGGGGGAAGAGGAGGAGAGGGGGGAGGAGGAGGAGGAGGAGGGAGGGGAAGAGGAGAGGGGAAGAGGAGGGGAGGAGGGGAAGGGGGGAGGAGGGGGGAGGAAGGGGGAGGAGGAGGGGGAGCAAGGAGGAGGAGGAGGGGAAGAGGAAGAAGAAATATTGAACTACGGACAAACCTGGGAAGCATTACCTACCATTTTTTCGAGGTGAAAGAGTGTGTGTGTGAAACCTGTCTGCCCCACCCACCCACCCACCCACCCACTCACACATCCACCCACCCACCCACCCACCCACCCAACTACACAATCACCCACTTTGCCACTTATACCACCGACCAGAAGGCCAACAAAGTTATCCCACCCAGCCGCACATTCTACAACCCGCCCACCGCCCACCCAGCCACCCACAACCAGGATTTTCTGAGTTACAATGTTTTTTTTTCCCTGCCATAGTCGAGTCTCAGTGTAACACCGCCACCATATTGGATACCATCATGAGACATATATGGTTGAGAAAATGGCGGCCATATTGGGTTGTGACTCTACAATGACTAATAGTGCCTCGTTACACGCCCCGACCCCTGGCACTGAGGGGCCACTTAGTTTACAACGGTGGCACTCAAGATCTATGGTGGCACTCAAAACCCCAAGCTCACACTCAAACTAACCTAACCTAACCTAACCTAACCTAACCCAAGTCGCACTCCATTGAGGAAGAGGAGGGGGAAGAGGAAGAAGAAGAGGAGGCGAAGGAGGAGGTGAAGGAGGAGGTGAAGGAGGAGGTAGGAAGATATTTGGGTCAGGGAGAGACAGATCAACACACACTCAAACATCATCACGGGGGGAAGAGGCTTACTTTACCCTCCTCTCTTCTTCTCCTTCATCTCTTCCTCTTTCCTTCTTCTCTCCTCCTTCCTATCTTCTCTCCTTTTCCTCCTCACCTCTCACTCTGTCCAATCCCTCACCTCTGTCCAATCCCTCACCTCTCACTGTGTCCAATCCCTCACCTCTGTCCAATCCCTCACCTCTGTACAATCCCTCACCTCTGTCCAATCCCTCACCTCTGTACAATCCCTCACCTCTGTCCAATCCCTCACCTCTCACTGTGTACAATCCCTCACCTCTGTCCAACTCTCACCTCTCACTCTGTACAATCCCTCACCTCTGTCCAATCCTCACCTCTGTCCAATCCTCACCTCTGTCCAACCTCACCTCTGTCCAACCTCACCTCTGTCCAATCCTCACCTCTGTACAATCCTCACCTCCCTGCACAATCCCTACCTCCACCCACCTGAGGCATCTTGTTCCTCTATCCTTGAGGGAAACTGAAGAGGAATTAGACCCTCCTACAGGTGCTAGAGGGGGAGGGAGGGGAGGAGGGGGCGGAGGGGCGTGTATGTAGTGTGTACGTTTTATGTCCTCACTTCACCCTATATAAGACGCACATAACACACACTATTTACCACTGGCAACTGTATGAGAGAGAGAGAGAGAGAGAGAGAGAGAGAGAGAGAGAGCACGACTGTTGCATCTCTTTGATCGTACAATATTTTTTTTATCTTTCCTCACCCCTGCCCCTCTCTTCCTCCCTCCTCCTTCAGTCTTAATTCTCCTTCCTTCTCCTCCTCCCATTCCTCGTCCTTCCCATTTATCATTTAGTTTTTATTTCCTCCTATCTTCCTCCCCCCGGGTGTAGTTAGACGTGTTTCCAACGTGTATTGATCACTGCCCCTGTGTCCCTCTCTCTCCTCCTCACCTCTCCTCCTCTCACCCTCTCCCACACCCTTGACCCTTTACCTATTCCTCTTGTCCTCTTTTCTCCCCCTTCTCTCTCATCTACCTGTTTCATCTGTTCCTCTCCCCCAATCCGTCCTCTCTCCCCACCCGTCCTCTCCCCACCGGCCTTCTCCCCACTCTCCCCACCCGTCCTCTCC